TGTTTGTTTTTGCTTTTGTTGCCTGTGCTTTTGGTCCTATCCAAAAAATTAGGGCACGAAATTTCAGTTATAAGATGAAAAAGTTCTGGGGCTCTAATGTACATCGTGGTGACTATAGTTAATAATACTGTGTTGTTTACTTGAAATTTGCTAAGTAAGTAGATCCTAAGTGTCCTTACCATATACACACACAAAATGGTAACTATGTATGGTGATCAATGTGTTCATGAATGTAATTTGGTGATCATTTCACAATGTATATGTATATCAAATCATCAGGTTGGACATCTTGAATATATGCAGTTTTATGTGTTAAATATACCTCAATAAAGCTGCAAAAATAAATAAAAATGTTTTTAAATTAAAAATAAATACGATCCACCCCCACCAGAGTCATGAGTTAATGTTAATGTGTCCAATTTTAAAACTCTACTAAGAAAAATATATCTTGCTCTAACATAATTTAAAGCAGGCTTAGCAAAACATTGATATGTAAAGTATCCATATTATATTTTGCATTTTAACAAAACAGGTGTTTAGATTTCAGTTCTATCCTAAAGTTTAAACTTAACATTTAAATTCCAACTTATGGCTACTTCTTCAAAATCTCTCATTAAAATTATGAGAAGCTGCTCTTTGCCCAGTGCATAGGGTGGTCACATTTATCATCCACATTGGGACTTTTTGAGAGTAAAAGGGGGTGCTGTTAATAATTACACCAGAAGAATAGACATAAACTGTAACCGTCCTGAGCAAACTGGGACTTATGGTTCCTACCAAAGGGCCTACAGTTTCAAAAACTTCTAAAATTATAAAGTATATAAATTATTTATTTATATAAAGTCAACTTACATACTTATACAACTTATATACTTAACTTAAATCATAAGTCATAGTTTTTATTTTGCATGGTTTTAAAATAATAGCAATGTCAATTTTACCCAAGTTCAATTTTCAGTACAGTAGAGTTTGCTTGCATCTAAGTGTTCCAGCAACCTATTCAAATGTATTCAAAACTTCACAATAAAATCTTGTACTTCAACAAATTCCATTCAGTAGTAACTCAACTACCTAAAATAGATAACACCAAATTATTTCATAAAATGTTTCCATAAAGCAAGCCAAGAACTCTCAGCTCCCTTAGTAGAAGGCAGTTAGTATTTATTGGGTGATTTTAGGCACTCTAACATCTATGAGGCTTACTCTCTGATTTGGGGTTTTGGTGAGAGACCCCAAACAGACCATTTGTCTTTTGTGTATATCATCTCCATCCACATAATGTGCAGTAGGAAAGTCTCACTGCCTTGGAAGGGTTAACTTCCTGCTCATCTATTCCACCCAACTTAGAAACTGAAAAGAAACTGAAAAGCTATCACTTGGACTAAAAATTCTAAAGGTAGGAAACCAAAGGAACAATCAAAGGGAACAGTGTTTTATGCAGACTTTTCCCTCTCTCTTTCTTGATTCTCTGTCTTGGTTGTTACCTTTTTCTAGAGGCCAAATTATGATGGTCATTATTTATGCTCCATGGTCAGGCCAGGTTTCCTAGGAAGACGGTTGTTAATCACCTATTCAAACTTTATGAACCAATCACACTACCCTCTGTATTAGGGTTCTTCAGAGAAACAGAAACAGAACCAATAGGATGTGTGTGTGTGTGTGTGTGTGTGTCTGTGTGTGTGTGTGTGTTAAGGAGTTGGCTCACATGATTGATGTTGCAATTTGAGTCTAGAGGCAGACTGGAGACAGAATCTCTTCCTTAGTCTTTTCTTTTAAGGCCTTCAACTGACTGGATAAGGCCCACCCACATTAGGGAGGGCAATCTACTCAAAATCTACTGATTTAAGGGCTGGACAGTTAGCTCAGTTGGTTAGAGCATAGTGGTATATAACACCAAGGTCAAGGGCTTGGATACTTGTACTAGCCAGCCACGAATCTACTCAAAATCTACTGATTTAAGGGCTGGACAGTTAGCTCAGTTGGTTAGAGCATAGTCGTATATAACACCAAGGTCAAGGGCTTGGATACTTGTACTAGCCAGCCAACAAAATCATCATCATCATCATCATCTACTGATTTAAATGTTAATCTCATCTAAAAAATACCTTCACAGCAACATCTAGACTAGTGTTTGACCTAGTATCTGGGCACCATGGCCTACCCAAGTTGACACATAAAATTAACCATCATGCCTTCCCTGCACCATAGGGTAGAAATTGAGTCCCAGTCTGAAAGTCATACACTTGGGGACCTCTGGGGGGCTGCCTTCAGCAGAGGCAAGCCCAGGTTCCTACACCCCTGCAGAGTGGCTGGGCCATTTTACAGGTGAGGAAACCAAGTCCTAGGAACAGGTTCACTGAGTTGGTCCCAGGGTCTGAATGAGCCAGGAGTGGAGTGAGGTCACTGATCCAGCTCTAACCACCACAACACCTGGCTCCCCTGGGGTCTCAACTCAACACCCATAGGGGGACAGTCTCATTTCACTTCCTATTTGGAACATCACAGCCAGGTCCGAGGCCCTTCAAACCATAAATTCTGGGGGAAGAAATTAACTTATCTCCTGAGTGGCCTTCACATTCCTGTCCCCAACCTTACAACCCCCTCTCACACTCAGCGGACACACATGTACCCATCCACAACGGGACTTCTCTTTGAAAAGTGCTTTATTTTAATAAGATCTAAGTCATGTGCATTGAAACATATCAAAATGTTACAAAAATGTACAGCTCTGTATGGAGGCCTTGTCAAATTATGTTAAGATGCCTAAACACATCAGTTTATAATTTCAGAACCAAACATTGAACCAGGTCATGTACCATAACTGAAAGACAAGTTATGATTAAGAAGAGAATATCTCACAAAAGCTACAACAAGTGAAAAACCCTTAAGAAACACTAGTAATTACACACCAGAAACCATCAGCCTGGAAACAGGTCTGCGATCGGCTGGGAAGACCCCAAGGGTAAACTGAGGCTTTCCCTTCACAGCTTGCGCATCTCTTGTGCTCAGTTAAAACATGGAGGTGGTGGGTACTTTAACTTCCCATGACAGGGTAAAGCTTTCGATTACGTCAGAGAAAAGAGGTGCCACATTCATTTTTATTCTACCATTCTAGGAGATCATATTTCATCTCATCTGACTCAAGCAAGACTTTGCATGAAATAATTTTAGTAGAAACTCAAAAATCCATGCTGCTGTATCAGGGACGCTCACTCTATCTCCTGTCTCCTATCTTATTCCCCATATCATGATTTGGCCACCATGGACACTGAAAATCCCTTGTTCACACAGGAAGTTCTCTCCTGGAGAGGTATCTAGGACACACGTTCTCCTTGTTACAGAGCTGTGAAATAAAATGTGGTTTTGTTCTTGTTTTACAGAGAGCTTCTCTTTTCTTAAGAGAGCTTCCTGTCTTTCTGTGGCCCGTTATCCTTCCACCCTCCTGACACTCTGCAATAACCACCCAACTCTATAGAAAAGAATTCTCACCCAAAATGTTTCTGCATGGAGAACAGATTTTTGGGGGTCATTATTATACCACTGATATGATAAAATGTCTTTATCTGGAGGTTTCTAGGAGAGACAGTATTGTTTTCTTTTTGGTAGGGAGGAGAGAAGGGTGAAAATATTTCTCCTTGAAGCATTAGCATGTCTTAGACCTAATCCTCCCCTAGACCAGGCCTCAGCATTTTTCTCCAGGATTGGTGGCTAAGCTTTTAAGATCCTCTCGCCTCAACCTCTACTTAAAGTTGGAGTCCATCCCGCCTGGAAACAATGTGCACACTCCTCACCAACATGCACGGGCAAGCCCATCATTTGTGCTTTTCAGCCCCTCCCAGTCGTAACCAGCTCCCACCCCCCCACCCCCATTTAAGTCATCACACTCCCACTAACGAGGTCACTGAGAATGTGACCTTGTGCTTAATTCTACCATCCCAGCCAGATGGGCTCAGGTTTTTCCTTCACTTGATCACCTTGTAACATAAGCCCCTGGGGGTAAAAAAAAACAGATGCAGCTAAACTGCTTTTCACAAGTTGGAAAAAAAAACAACAAACAAACCAAAAAACCCCTTTAAATTGGCCATTCATTCTTCACATGATTTCAGGTTCATTGCACACAATTACATAAACCCACACAAATCGGCTGAGGCGTTCAAAGCTGCAAGGCCATGTGATACCAGTGAGAAAATGTGGTCCACATGGTGGTGAAGTGTCCCTATTTCAGCCGCTGCTATTTCAAAGAATCTTTCCAAAATTCCTGATCCAGCTATCAGGACGTAAGAAATGATCTCTAAACGGGGTGGGCCTAAATGGGAAAGTGAAGCCTGCATTAAACGAAAATGTGTTGTATAAAACATGATTTCCCCTCACTTCCACCCCCAACCCTCCCCACCCCCCAATCTTTAAACAGCCAAGTCTACCTTAGGATCACTTTCTGGAAAAGTGATCTGGCAAACTGGCCATTTTGCAACATTTCCATATTTAACACTATCGTAGTGCTAGTGCAAGTTAAAGAGAAGTTTTATAAACCCAAAATATCTGTCCAACAAGAATTAGTAGTTAGTAATTTGCTTTGTGGAAACTCTTCCCCTCAACCCAAGGAGAATTATTGGGACCCACAAGTGCTCTGAACATTCAAGATAAAAATAACTAGAAGAGAAGTTCTCCAAATTATTTTCTTAAATACGAAACTCTGGAGGTAAGCTTGCAATCACAAAACGGCTCTTTCCCATCTGTAAAAAAGGAAGCTTTGCCTCGCCCTCACCCCATTTTCTCCCCCTAATTCTGTGCATTTTGCAGAGGCCCACTGCGGTGTACGAATGAGACTAAGCCCTCCGGGTTTCCATTACACACTCCACGGGGCTGGTGGTGCTGTCCCCATGGAGGAGATAGGTTCACTAAAAGACTCGGTGGCAGCACGCTTTTCAAAAGTCCACAAGAGACTACAGCTGTGAGTCTCGTTACACACTCCACGGGGCTGGTGGTGCTGTCCCCATGGAGGAGATAGGTTCACTAAAAGACTTGGTGGCAGCACGCTTTTCAAAAGTCCACAAGAGACTACAGCTGTGAGTCTCGCAGGAAGCTGTGGAGAAGGCCACAGGTACAGGAGGGCAGGAGGTGCCCAGGGCAGGAATGGCTCTGCTGCAAAGATCCACCTTCCTTTGGAGGCACTGACCAGAGGTTCTCTCTCCCTCGACTGCCCAGCTCTGCAAACCTTCCTTGAAGAGGAGGTGGAGAAGAGATGGGGGCGCCCCACCCCAACAAGGCTCAGAGACACCTGCTGTTAGGAGTTCCTGGGCTTGCTTGGTTGATATCCTCATCAAGCATCCATCTGTCCCTCCTCAATGTGGATCAGTGCACTGGTGTCCAGCTGTCTGGCAATCTTTCCAATGGGGGTCACAGGGGATAGACTGTCCCTGCTCCATTCCCCCATTGGGGTTGGCCCTAAAGATCACCTGGTGGATACTCAGAAAAGCTGAGAGAAGCTCTGTCCTCCTGATGCACCTTCACAGAACAGCCTAGAGAGCTTCCCTGAGTTCACACTGTCAGTAGCAGGACAAATCCTCATTCTTGAAGTCCACCTCCATGCACAGGGTAAGGGCAACCTGCACAAATCCAGAGGATGGAAAAAAATAAAGCTTTGACTTCAAACACACAGCCTATGCTCTGAGTGCAGGAAGACCCTTGATGATGTGAAGAGAGGCTGGGCTCGAAGGCACCTGTCATTTCTGCAGGTAACTTCCAACATTTCCCTTCAGCCCTAAGGAGGGGACTTGGAAACCTCCTGGCCACCATCCCAGAGCAAGCCAGGTCCTTGCCACACTAGCCAGTCAGCTCCACGTGTGCACCAATGAGATCTTTGTTTCGTGAGATCTTTCCTTCAACTCAAGGAAGCACCAGAAAGATGGGTCGACAGCTTGATGCACAAAGAGAAACACACGGCTTCTTCTCCTGTCTCCTAGAGGTGGCCATGGAGGTGGGGCCAGAGGCTGAATTCATTCTTTACAGGAATCCACAAAGAACATCATATTCATCTTTGTTACTTAAGATGATCAAAGTTTCCAGTGTAAAAACTCGTGGGCTTATTGCATCTGCCCCACTGGTGGTTTATCTTTTTCTTTCCATCAGACTTGTCCCAAGGGGATGGGGCTGTTATTTTGTTAGTTTCTGAGGATGTCACAATCACCGTTGCTTCTAGGCATACAGGGAGAATCTCTAACACAGCAATCCCCCAAATGATGAGCTTGAGGGATCCCCTTTCCCTTCTAAACATGGGCAGATATGTGTGGCTGCTCCCTGGCATTTGAGGGGAAAAATCTTTTCTTCAGCCTAAAACCCCTCAGATCAGTGACTCTTCTGGTTTTCCTGCCCACGAGCAGCATATCCACCAGCCTCACAGCACTTATGCTGGCTGCTTAGAATTTAATTGCATGTGAAAGTATCAGAGAGGCACATGGACACATACCATGTGCGTGCACACACACTTACACACACACACACACACACATTTTGGGTCCTCCTTATAACAAAAATCAGAAGTCCTTGGAGTGAAAGAAAGGAGAGCAGGGATCCAGGGGCGGGGAGCTGTCTGCTGGTTTCTTCACCCTGCTGCAGGCAGCAGATGACTGCTTGTCCACAGCCAGAGAGGTTTGCATGTAAACACTTCCAAGGAAAGAAAGTGCACAGCTTCCTGTTGGTCAACGGCAGCTCCTGCGGTGCCTGGATCCCCTCGTTCCGGTGGCTCAGATTGTTGCAGGGGTCTCAGCTATTTCCTCCAGCCTCTGCCGAATCATTAGGCGGAGCACCGTGTACCTGGGGGCAAGAAACAGCCTGGGGTAAGGAGCAGCCAGCAACATACCCCTCCTCATGACCTTCTCCATCACCCAGGTAAGATCAGGTAGTACCAGGTGACACCAATTGACACCAGGTAAAAGTGCAGGCCAACTGTCCTGTCCCTTTGCCGCTTTCATCATTGGTCCACTCTTTAGACACTTTGTTGTTTGTGTTAATCTCCACAACAGGATGAGAGGGAATAAAGAGGTCAAAACCAAATTAGATTATTTCACTATGATTAGAACGTCTGGCAAAAGAAGTATGTAAAGGTGAAAATAACAATAATAAGAATTCCATTAATTCAGTGCTTAATATGTCTAAGGCACTATACACACTACTTTATATGCAGGGTAGCTCATTAACCTTCACCTAGCCTAGACCATGTGAAATTGCCAATATGTGATCTCATACAGTTCAACCTTATATCAATACCTGCGTTTTGCAGAAGAGGTCACAGCAACTACTAGGCATGGAGGTCCGTGGCTTGTGGGTGAACTGCGTTTCCCCATGACTTCCCTGAACTATGGCACTGCAGATACTGGCGTGGGCACTGTTGTGTGGGGCTAAAGTCTTACTCCTTATGTTCAGGCTTTTGCACTGCACAGTAAAAGCTATTTGGCTTGTGGGTGAACTGCGTTTCCCCATGACTTCCCTGAACTATGGCACTGCAGATACTGGTGTGGGCACTGTTGTGTGGGGCTAAAGTCTTACTCCTTATGTTCAGGCTTTTGCACTGCACAGTAAAAGCTATTTTTATTTATTTATTTATTTATTTATTTTATAAAGAACAGAGGTTTATTTGGCTTACAATTCTGGGACAGCTGCATCTAGCATGGGCCTCAGGCTGCCTCTACTCATGGTGGAAAGTGGCAGGGAGCCAGTGGGTACAAGCAAATCACATGGCAAGGTGAAGCAAAAGAGAGAGAGAGAGAGGAGGTGCCAGGTTCCTTTAAACAGTCAGCTCTCGTGGGAACTAACAGAGCGATTCCTCCCCCAGGGAGAGCATTAGTCCATTCATGAGGGATCTGCCCCCATGATTCAATCAGTTTCCAACACTGCCACATTGGAGATCAAATTTCCACATGAGTTTTGGAGGGGACAACACATCCAAACTCCATCAATGACTGAGAAAGGGAAGCACAGTAATGACTGAGACACACTGAAGTCTCTTGGGTGATGTTTTTTAAATTACATGTTTTTCATTTGAAGATTTCATTTTTCTCTCATTCACTTATTTTTATTTATTTATTTTCACGGTCAATTCATTAATTCAAATTTTAAGACAATGTGTTTGTACCTAATACTGTATTAGATGCTTTTTATAAAAATTTTATTTTTGGCCATAAAACAAGTCTTAATATGTTTTGAA